GCAGATCGCCCAGGCAGCCCAGCAGCGCCATGGTGGCCACGCCCTCTGCCCGCACCCCACAGCATCAACTGTGCGTGATGGGGCATGAGGGTAGAGTCCTTTCTACGCTGCCTGGCTACCATGTCCTTGGCTTCGCTGCTCCGCATGGGCCACGCTTGGGGGCTACTGGGGAGGAGGGGGCCGTGGGGGGAGGTGGGGCTGGGGCAACGGCACGTGTGCCATAGGTTCGCCACCACTGATGTATGGCATTCATGAACTCTAAAGCTTCCCTAGCTAGGAAGCTTTTATACTTTTCTGCATGCATGGCTGTTTGGCATAAGTCTGCACAATATCGGTTTATTTCAGCACCAGCATTCTAACTCCATTCGTTGGGAGTACAGTTGCTGAACTATTTCTATTGATTCATGATATCATAACAAAAACCTCACCAATACAAGCATTTATAGAAGACACATTTATACCTTAGAAATGAAAATAAATTTCAAACAAGTTATTAAAAATGAAAAAAAAATCAGAATATCACAGTACTTTAAAAAGTTATGCTCAACTTACTAATAACTGAAATATATATATGAAATAGGAAAATCCTTGTTAAGAACAAAAAGACATTAAATTGCTCATTACAGAATAAGAAAAAAGCCTTGAATTTATGAGATCATACTCACTCCTTTTTATACCACACAGAAATTCAGTCTTTTGGTCTATTTTTTAAAAATTCTATCCCATTCACCTGATTATGGCAGTAGTTAAAAGGCATGGATAAAGTTAAAGTAACACTACATTCATAGAAACAAAACCTGACCTCATACACTAACTATTCCTGTATATCACAGGGGCCTCTTATCAGTATAACAATGATTTTGTTAACCAACTCATTAGCTTTACATAGAAGGCTGATCCATAAATTAAGCACACTGAGAGGTTGCCACAGCACATTCATCCAAAACTAATCAATCATATTTTAACTGAGTAAATTTGGGGCAAATATATATTTTGTCATAATTATCACTGTCAATACATCAACCATCCATATGTAGATGTATAACAGTATTTAGTATAGTTATAATTCTGTATGGGAAAAACAAATGTTATTTTCCTTCTGTAGATTAAAGTTGTTTTCTCAAGTACAATTCTTGGCAACTGCCTGGGCAAATCCCTAGAGTTTTTTTGGCAAGATTTTTCTTAAGTGATTTGCTATTGCCACATTCTTATGGCTGAGAGAAAGCAACTAGTCCAAGGTCACCCAGCTGGCTTTGTGCCTAAAGTGGGACTAGAACTCATAGTCTCCCAGTTTTTAGGCTGATGCCTTAATCAAACTGGTTCAAACTAGAATTTAAGTTTGACCAAAGTGGGCATAGGAGAAGAAAAACTATACTAGGTGTAACATTACATTATAACATTACATATATTTTATAACATTACATATATTTTATCCATCCACATTGAATGTGAAGCAAATTTAACTAGTATGATTAATCTGTGGTTGAACTGTTGTGCAAACCTAGCCAAATGAAGACATGCTTAAACAAGCTCAGCTAATGATTTGGTTTCACACTGTCCATTTTATTAATAGAAAAGCTTCTTCCATTCACAGGAGATCCTATACCCATTTCCTGTTGTATCACCTCGTCCAAAAGTTCCAACTTCAAAACCATGCTTAACTAAACTTCTTAACATTCAATAACCTAGTTAAGTAAAATTCCTAATACAAGATTTCATGAAACCTAACTAAAAAGCACTTTATTTACCAATAGCTAATTACAAATAAGATTGCTAAGTTACTTAAAATCATACTATACTGAGTATATAAATAGGCAGGATTGCATGCATGGCAGTCACATTTTTATTATGCTTGCACAATTGGGGTATTTCACAAATTGCAAACTGCAGCCATTTTAGGAACATTTTTTACCAACTCAGCTGCTGTCAGACCTTTAGTTAAAACAGACACCTAAAGCTTAAAAAAAAAAAGAACCCATAAAAATGGTGTGCTTCAAGTACTAGCATTGAGATTTATCTCTAAAACTGAATCAAATTTCAGTTTGAAGTTTCAGTTCCTATCAGTTTGTGGCTCAGCACCTGGTGATGTAAAGCCCTAGGGAGGAGCAAAACTCAGCAATAAAAAATTCATCACATTAATTGTGAAACTAGAAAGTTACACAATGGGACTCTGTTAAAAGCAGGGTAAGCTATATTTTTACTGTATCAAAAAGGTGCCAGTAACCTTGAGCATAAAAGGTTTACTGTATACCCAAGTCAATAAAAACCTCTTGATTAAGGCATTAAATAATTCAAATGACATCCACTTGATTCTCCTAATGGTTAGCTGAAACAGAATTTCCTAGAATCTTTTGCTATTTTATATCAAAAACTCAGATTGAATTATGATTAGTCACCATTAGTACTATTTCTGATGGGGTTCACTTTAATATTACCATCAAACAAATTACCTATCACAGTTCTGACTGGAAGATACCAATTAATCTTTTCTGATTTGTATTTGCAATCTTCGAACAGAGATAGGTAATACTCAGTTGTCATTTAGAGCTATAACTTCACAACCTCCAGCTAGCATGTCCAACTGTCAAGAACAGGTAAACTATAATCCAGAGTAACTAGTATCGGTATATAACATGCTGCCAATTCTACTCATACAGATTCTTGAAGACCATGGAGAACTTTTCTACATGTTAAAAGTATTATACCTTTAATGTTAATTACTTTTCCCCAATTATGGGTGCAATGTAAGCAATGAGATTAGAAAGTGGTCATTCAACTAGAACATGAATACTTACAAACTATGGATAATTATCCTATGTAAGAGCAACCACAATGAGTACCCTTTAAGATGCCAAAAAACATAGAGACATAAATACAATATATTTGGAAATGTTTAGGCAGCTTAGCTACTCAATTGTAAATATATTCTTTTTAAATACTATTCCACCAGTTCATTCCTATTCAGTTTTGGGCGGATATCCTTGTCATTAACCTTGTTCAGACATGAAGATTCAGTATTTGTATGCTTAACATTTAGGGTCATGCTTGCATAGTGCACAGCCTCTTCCCCGAAGTCCTATGCAAAAAAAGACAGGGAAGTTTTTTTATTCCTTTTTTTAAAAAAAAAAATAATTTTAGTGTGCTGTTAAATCTGTTTAACTGTTAAATCTAACAACTAACTCTAGCATCAATTATTCTTGTGAGGACATAAAGCCTGTTCTTATTAGTGTTAAACAGGCATAACATTGGCTACAAGAAGATATTGTAATGCCTGGTTTCATATCTAACNTCATGCCCGTTGCTGGTTGGCTAACTAGCAACAGGGTCTTGCCAGCCAATGGAATTGTGTGATTACAAGCCAGGGGAATCCCATAAAAGAGGGCTCCCCTGGCCCAGAGAGCCAGTCCGGATTTACTTGATGCCTTGCCAATAAACCAAGAGCTGACTGTCACTCGACTCGTGTCTTACTGCCTGCGCGATCTAACAGTCCCCCTTCCCATAAGCTAGGATTAAGGTTGACCAAAGCATCTTGGAAAGCGACCAAGGCAAGTTTGCTCTAAGCTGGGTAACTCAACACTGAGCACAAACCACAACCCAACCTTAGGACTATCGCATCCCACCAGGATCGCTGGCAGCTGCCCCTCAAAAGCAACAGTAACCTTTTCTTAGAACGGGCCATTCCACGTGAAGATATTCTGTTCACGAGTTAAGTTCGGGAGCCCAAGGAGCTGGTCTCCCAGGAGTCCGGCAAGACAGCGTGACAACCACGTGGGAATACATCAGCCGGAGCAGCTCAGCTCGGGGCTTTGCGAAACTTCCTCGCCGACTGACGCCTTTTCCCTCCCCGCCCTTGCCGGCCGCTTAAGCTGGCCGCGGAACCCGCGCAGTTAGAAACCCCTCGCCCGCTTCCCTTCCGGCCCTCAGCGTCTCGCGCTCCTCCTCGCGGCCCCCCCTCCCGAAATTCACGACATGCGCACTCCTTTCCCCGAGGCTCTGCGCGTAGCTCGAGAGCGCCCGTCGGGGGCCCGGCGATTCCTCTTTCTCATCTTCCGCTTGAAGCGGCCTCCGGGTTCCTAAACTTTCCCTTTCCCCCGGCGCCCCACCCCTTCACTCACCAAGTAGCGGGGCTGCCAGTCGTTAGCATCGTCGATCTCCTGAAACTCCTGCTCTATCGTGGCGAGGGCGGACATAATGGCGGCGAGATGCAGAAGGGTGGAGGAGAGCCGCTGGCAATCGGCAACTTCATCACCTACCTCCCGCTGCTGACAGGGCGAGGACGGCGAGCCCGCCCCCTCGGCCGCTCGCGTTACCTTCAACGCGCACTCAGCGGCGCCTCTTGAGCGGACGCATGCGCGTGGGTCGCCCAATGGATTAGAGCTAAACTCCGCCCATTGTCGGAGAGGAGGAGGGGGGGGAGAGAGAATGCGTACCTGGGCTTGGGTCATTGGTCGCTTTGTGTGGGGAAGTTCCCGGAGTAGGTTGACTTTGGGGCTGGGGGTTTTTTTGCGTCGATCTAAGCCAGGATTTAATTGTGGTTTGTTGAAGGCCAAGTTAGCTAGGTTCAGGGTACATCGTTCGCATACAATGACAGAGTTTGCGAATTGTAAATACAATTCGGACAAATGAATTGTGTGAACGCAAATATAGTGGCTTTGTAAACGTTGGTTTATGGCAGGGGTAGTCAACCTTGGCTCTTTTATGACTCGTGGACTTCAACTCCCAGAATTCCTGAGCCAGCTTAGCTGGCTCAGGAATTCTGGGAGTTGAAGTCCACGAGTCATAAAAGAGCCAAGGTTGACTACCCCTGGCTTATGGCTTAATATGTTGAATGAGCGCATGGCTTAAGCAACATATTCTATTGAATCCTTATAAGGCTTTTTGGCTGCCTTTTCTAGACACCAACGGGCCTAGCAACAATCTGATAGTATACATTTAAAATTTAAGTCTGATGGTGGGTGAATAATTGTTTGCTTCTGCTTTGCAAACTATGGTTTTACATTGTTTGTAAACTGTTTTGTATGCCACTGAGTCACTTCTGAAGCTTGATGACATGAACCAATTTTGCCAGGCTTATCTGTCAACTGTATTGTAGGTTCATATTTGTTTCCTTAAGCGTTTTTTTGACTTCCTTTTCATTTTTCTAAATATCAAGATCTTGTGCAGTGACGCGTTCCTTTGCATTATGTGTCCAAAATTTTTAAGTTTTAGTTCTCAATAGTGCTTCCAGTGAGTAATCTGGCTTTACTTCATGTGAGACCGCATTGCTTGGTCTTCTTAAAGCTAGTAATTTTTTCAACAAATTTTTTCAGCGCCACATTCAAAGATATATTTTCTTTCACTTTTTTGAAGAGTCAGCTTTCACAGACATATATGAGAAAACCATATTGTCGTTATAATGTCTCTTTCAGATCTCCCAAAATACCAATGTTTAGTCATCTTTCCCCTCTGACCACATCCAGTTTTTATGGATTCATAGTTTTGACATTCCATGTATCAATCATATATTCATGCAGTATCAACTTTTTTTTGCCCCAGGCATATCCTTAGCGGGACATCCTTCAGCTGTAATTCAGTCACATAATAAATATCACTGCTTTTTAGAGGGATACTATTATTCTGTGGCAGGAAAAAATAAGATTTGTAGCATTTTAAACATTAAATTGCAGAATATACTTTAGATGACTAAAATGTTTGATATACACTTCTCTTGAGATGGGTGACTATATACATTTGATTAATATACTGCAGTGTCACTGTTCATTAATCTACTTAAAAGGTTCATTGAATACAGACGTACAAAGGATTTGCTGGGTAAGAGTGCACTTTTATTCAGTACACATGTAAGCCGGATTGAGTTCAAATAAGTTTAACTCGCTGGTAAGTACATTCAGGAAGGCCAGCCTGTTTTACTGTTAAAAAAATCTTGATTATTTTAAATAGGATTCGTCTCCTTAGGACAAAAAAAAAAATGTTTATGATAGCGCTACAGATTTGAGAGGAGGGTTCCAATCAGCTATAACACTAACTGCCAGAAAAGTCTTCATTCCCCATCAGCTCAAATTTCACGTGTTTTTTCGGTTCGACCAGGACTTCGACTTCTACTAAATTTCTATCATAAACTTCCGGGGCTGTGTCTGTTTCCGTTTAAGGCGGTATTTCTTAGCCGCAACAACTTTAAGACGCCTGGACTTCAACTCCCAAGATTCCGGGATTGGGACTACGGAATTTGGGGGGTAGAAGTCCACGCCCCTTAAAGTGGAGCAAGACTAAGGGGATAGAGCAGGGGTAGGCAACCTTGGCTCTTTTATGACTCGTGGACTTCAACTCCCAGAATTCCTGAGCCAGCATGGCTGGCTCAGGAATTCTGGGAGTTGAAGTCCAGGAGTCATAAAAGAGCCGAGGTTGCCTACCCCTGGGATAGAGCGTAAGCGCTAGTGACGAAAGCGACTGGTCGCTTTCTTTTGGCGACAGCGCGACGCTTAACCCAGTTCCGGGGGGAGGGCCGGGCGCGCCTGTTTGAGCTGCGCGAAAGAGAATTCTGTCTCGTGGAGGGCGGCGCGGTGAAAGAAGGTTTTGCTGAAGAAAGGAACATATTTTGACTGGGACGGCGAGGCCGCCGGGATGTTCGTGGCGCGAAGCATCGCAGCTGATCACCGCGACCTCATCCACGATGTTTCTTTTGACTTCCACGGACGGCGCATGGCGACTTGCTCTAGTGACCAGAGTGTTAAGGTGTGGGGAAGGCTCGGGGCGAAGCTATTCTTTCTTTGATTAATCTACGAAGATGAGTCGGTCAACGTGCTCGTTCAGGCTTAGTCGCAGTTTTCCTATAGGGTCCTTTCGCCCCCACTGGGTTTGGTAGAAAATGCAATTGCTGTGAGTTAGGATAACGGAATTCTATGTTGGGAACCACGATTCAGGTCAGCTTTTTAATCGGTAAAGGAGAGACCACTTTGGCTGGATTTGCACAGCATGCTAAACTGAACTAGGGTGGGGGTGACATTTCGGTTGGGTATATTGCAGGAGCCTAACCATTGCAGTTTGAATTGGAAGCCACTGTTGGTGGTTAGATAGGTTTGAATCTTCCCAACTATGATTTACAGTGTTAAGCAAACCACAGCTTAGCATAATATATTCATCTAGTATTGCACGTTGACATTCCCTTACACCAGGGGTAGTCAACCTTGGCTCAGGAATTCTGGGAGTTGAAGTCCACAAGTCATAAAAGAGCCAAGGTTGACCACCCCTGCCTTACACTAATAATGCTCCCCTGCAGTTCCCATGTACATACAGTAATTGGAGTTTGAAATTGTAATGCACTTTTATTTCAAAGTCTGTTTTTGCACATTCAGATGGAATGGTAAACCTCAAATCTTACATAGAAATCAGGTGGATAGTTTTATTCTTTCCTTAGTGTAATATGTTAACAAACCTTAATTGTATTCTTAATGTCCTTAGTTCAAAGAGATGTTTGAGGTAACAAAACAAAAGTAAGTCTCAAAATATTCCCGTGACCGGAAACCCAAATTCATTTTTATAATTGGAGAGGTTTAAATAGGTACAAATTATGCTGTAATTAAATAGTTGCAGAATTATTATGAAGTCAAATATGGTTAGATATTGTTTTGATTTCCTTCTTAGTCACAAGATTGTTTGCTTGGAAGGAAAAACTTATTAACTTGATTATGTTATTTGTATCTGTTAAGAATATGTGCAGTTTCTTATTTGTCTTATATGTGACCTGGGTTTTAGTTGGAGTGCTTAAGGAGTCTCTGATAAGATTTTCTACAAGAATTGTTATGAACAATCATATATGTCTTCATTTTAAATGAAACATGTTTGCCTTGCTAGGTTTGGGACAAAGGTGAAAATGGAGAATGGCATTGTACTGCCAGTTGGAAGGTAAGAATTTGAGTCTAAAACAATTTACATAGAATATTACTTGACATATAAAACCTTAACAAAGGGGAAACAATGAGTTCTAAAATCCAGTGATGCCTACCTAAAGGTAATTTTCTTTGTTCTCAGTGGGACTAGGACTGCTATGTCTGACCTGTAAAAATCTGGAGGGTCACAAGAAGGAAACAAAGACATACAGAAACTCTTACTCTTTGCTGTCATTTTGTACATCCACATTTTTGCAACTGCAATACTCACATAGAACTCAGGTCTTTCTAAATGTGTTTAGGATTGCAGTTTTTTGGGATAATATTAAACACAGAGGCAGAATTTTTGGACTTATTAATTTATTATATGGCATCTACAGAAGTCATGCAATCACTGATATGCAAATTTGGTTTAAATAAAGCATCAGCAAATATATACAGGGATTCCTCTACTTATAACCACAATTGAGCCCAGAATGTCTGTTGTGAGACATTTGTTGTGAGTTTTGCCCCATTTTACAACTTTTCTTACCATATTGTTAAGTGAATCACTGCAGTTACGTTAGTAACATGATTGTTCAGTGAAGCTGGCTTCTCCATTGACTTCGCTTGTCAGACGGTTGTAAAGGGTGATGACATGACTCTGTGACATTGTAACTGTCATAAATGAGTCAGTTACCAAGCTTCTGAATTTTGATCATGTGACCATGGGGATGCTGCAAAGGTCATAAATGTGAAAAACGGTAATAAGTCACTTTCCAGTGCCTTTGTAACTTTGAATGGTCACTAAATGAACTGTTGTAAGTTGAGGCCTACCTATATAAGATATGTGGACAATACAATATAGGAGATAAAATATTAAATTAAAATAAAACTAATAAAATCACCATAATATGGAGCAATAGAATTGAAATGGGACAGATGTTATAATTTGATATCTAAGAAAGATATTTGACTGCCTTGAAATTTCCTTAGGAGGCATTCTTGAATTATATGTGTTTATAGTTTGTTCTGGTGCACCAGTCACATTGCGGGCTGTCAGCCATTCCCCACTTAAACAGCTTTGCCTTAGTTCTGGAATGTCCTGTCCTGATTATATTAAGGTGGCTCTATATTTTGGGGGCAACTGCATTCCTAAAAGTGGTTTTATTGGATCTTGGTTATCTGTTTAGTTGTGGTTATTGAAAGTTGCCCATTTTAATTTTTGGACTAGTGGGTTCAAATAGATTTTTTTACATAATGGCTGCCATTATTAGAGCTTGTATTTTCATAATATTGTTTGCATGAGGGATAAAAATGTGTAGCCTATTCATTGACTAGGTATAGTCTAGATCAGCGGCTCTCAACCTTTTCTATACCTCACATCTCTAGAACGCTTCTGATACATTCTCGCACGCCTTACAAAAGTTCAAAATAATGGTAACGAATTACGCATATACACTATAATTTTGAAAACCCAAGTTTTTGCATCCCCTGGGAACCCCTGGTCTAGATGCATAGTCTATTATTGCTGTCTTTTTATCTTTGTTTTCTCTTTTGCACACCACTTTGCTTAATTATTATAATAAAGGCTGGTTCTAATTCTTCCTTTTTATAATTATGTGTATTTGTTAGATCATTCATTCACTATACATTTTAATTTATCTTAATTCTGCAGACACACAGTGGATCTGTGTGGCGTGTGACATGGGCACATCCGGAATTTGGACAGGTCTTGGCTTCTTGCTCTTTTGACAGAACAGCTGCTGTTTGGGAAGAAATAGTAGGAGAATCAAATGATAAACTTCGGGGACAAAGCCACTGGGTAAGTTTTGAAAAATAGATAGTTTGGAATTTTTAGAATTTATTTATATATCCTTGATAATGATGAAATTTAGCAAACAAAATATTCAAGTTAAGAGATTTATTGAACAACAGATGTATTTTATATTTATAATTTTCTTACATGTTTCTCTGCAAAAGATAGATGAATTCTGCTGAGTTCAGTCTCCTCTGCAACTACCTAAATTAGGGGTAGGCAACCTTGGCTCTTTTATGACTTGTGGACTTCAACTCCGAGAATTCCTGAGCCAGCATAGCTCAGTCCATGAGTCCATGAGTCATACAAGAGCCAAGGTTGCCTACCCCTGACCTAAATCATCACAGGGGCTTTTGAACTCTCAAAACATTAGTAAGGGATGCAGAAGGCTATAGAAGCAACTGGGAAAGTTGGCTTTATAAAACTTTCTAAAACGGAACACAAAAAAATCCCATTATGGGTCACTATGATCTGTACATTCAGGCTCTGTTTCATTTATGGAAGAAGTTAGACTTGAAGCCAAAATCCTAGCAGAATTTTGTTTTTACATACAGTTGATTTTTACTTGACAACCATTTATTCAGCAACCATTTACAATGGTGTTTAATGAATGGAGCTTACGACCAATTCTCAAAGTTATGGCTATAGCAGTGCCCCTGCATTAATGTGATAAAAATATGGTTCACATTTATGACAGCAGTGTGCAGTCTGTATCTTCCTCACCTGCCTATCTACCTGCCTCCAGAAGTTGTGAATGCTCCAACACTGGAAGTTTTTAAGAAGAGACTGGACAACCATTTATCTGAAATGGTATTGGGTTTCCTGCCTGAGAAGAATCAGAATTTTATTTTTCAATAAATCCCTTAATATTACTCATTTTACTCATATACTCATATTACTCATTTTCTTTTCTAGCATTCTATTTTTTTTCCTCTTCTGGGAATAATATATTTCCATTAGCCATTTTGAAATATTAAGCAATCATATATTTTTCTTTGTGACTTTGTAGCTTTAAAGATTTCTAATACAAAATCCCTATTTTTCAACACTATAAAATTATATGTGTAATTATAACTATACTTCTAATCATCTATTTATAATTTTCCTCCTTCTTACAACTGCTGTATTTTTAGGTAAAGAGGACTACTTTGGTTGATAGTAGGACATCAGTTACAGATGTCAAATTTGCTCCCAAACATATGGGTCTCATGTTAGCAACATGTTCAGCAGATGGAGTTGTTAGAATATATGAAGCTCCGGATGTTATGAATCTTAGTCAGTGGTCACTTCAGCATGAAATTTCATGTAAATTAAGCTGCAGTTGTATTTCTTGGAATCCTTCAAGGTAAGTTATTAATTCTTTAGAAAAAGAATCATGAAAAACATCTCTCTTAATTTGAAACTAATTAATATGCATCTTTTTCCTGCAATTGGCATATAAAATCATAGTTTTTACTATAGAGGTATTAGAACTGGAAGAAAATTTGGATTTATAATTGAAGGATCAATCAGCAGAGATGTAAATGACTTATTCTGAGGCTCTGGAAAGTTATTTTCAATCGAAAGTATTTCAGTATATACTAGTAAGAAAAAACCATATTGAATTTCATTCCTGTATGTGAGTTTAAGCTATGAATTGGACGCAGGGAGAATTTTGGATTTTTTATCCATGGCTGTTTTAGACTAATTCTTTTATAGTTCTAATTGTTAAAAATGTTATCTAAGAATATTTCATTTTTAATTGTAGTTCACGTGCCCATGCTCCTATGATAGCTGTAGGAAGTGATGATGGTAGTCCTAATATACTAGCTAAAGTACAGATATATGAATACAACGAAAATACCAGGTGAGAGGAAAAAACAGCTACTTCTATAATTAAATGTGTTGTGAAATTGCTGAAACTTTATTGAGATATGAATAAAAATGACTAAAATGGCATTTTGGGAATGAAATATATTAAATGGTTAGCATGCATTAATTCTTGATAGGTTTTTGGTTTTACAGCAGAATTCTCCAACCTTTAGGGGTTGGTGGCCCAGAGTGGGGGGGGGGAAGGGACCTGTTGCTCGTGCAAGTGGGGCCATGAGCGCTGCAATGCTTGCATGAGAGGGGCCAGGTGCACATGCGCACTGACCAGCCAATCGCACAGCCCAGTGGCCAATAGGCCACAGCCTGGTAGTAGGCTACGGCCCACAGGTTGGGGACCCCTGTTCTACAGTATAGTTATAGTGAGAATCCAAGTAAAACAAATTCTACAAATATAATTATATGAGTGCTCATTCATTTATTCATTCAATTTCTATAGTCACCCATCTCAGTCAATGACTCTGGGTAGCTTACAATTCAAAAAGAAAATCAAAAATACTAAAAACATTTTATAACCAGAAAAATAGAAACATCCAAAATATACATGGTAACAAAGATACTTGGCCAGTTAACAATACAGCCAAGAAATGGTGCCCTTTCATAAATAGTGGTCCTCCATCATAGTATCCAAAATTAGGCAAGATTTCTTCATTATTCTATTGATACTAGTTGGAATCAGTTAAAAAAAGATCAAATCTAGCATAAAGTCTTAAGTAGAATTAAAAATTAAGCTTACATGAAAGAATTTGGTTAATATTTTTTTTCAAAAGGAAACATTGGACAGTGTAATAATATATGTTATATAAGAGAATAAACATTCTGTTTATGTGTTACTCAGGAAGTATGCAAAAGCGGAAACTCTTATGACAGTCACAGATCCCGTGCATGACATTGCATTTGCTCCAAACCTTGGAAGGTCATTCCATATATTGGCAGTAGCTACTAAAGATGTACGAATATTCACATTAAAACCCCTAAGGTACGTTTTTCAAGCAAGTCCTTTAATATAAAATATTTGTGTATAACTTTGTTCTCAAGGATAAGTTATTCTTGTTGAGAACCTAGTAATTTTGTTTGGCAATTAGCTCTTTAATAATTATTTTGTTACAGTCATAAAGGGATAATGCAGTTCTATTCAGTGTTTTGCTCTGATTTTTTCAAATGATTTATTGATACGTTAAAATGAAACATAATTTTTAAAGTAGCACGTATTGAGTAGACTAAAGTACAATTCAATTGTGTACTTTTTTTTAACAGAAAAGAACTGAGTACTTCATCTGGATTGACAAAATTTGAAGTTCAGTTAGTGGCCCAGTTTGATCATCACAATTCCCAAGTCTGGCGAGTGAGCTGGAATATAACTGGCACAGTACTTGCATCTTCAGGTGATGATGGATGTGTAAGGCTTTGGAAGGGTAAGTATCTTCCTTCCTTCCTTCCTTCTTTCCTTCCTTCCTTCCTTCCTTCCTTCCTTCCTTCCTTCCTTCCTTCCTTCCTTCCTTCCTTCCTTCCTTCCTTACTTACTTATTTACTTCCTTACTTACTTACTTACTTACTTACTTACTTACTTAAAATATTTAAACACACTACACTGATTATTTAAAAAAGACTAAGCAAGAGCATTGGATATTCCAAACGTACCTCAGCAGATCACCATTCCCTTGAGACACCAGGCCTGTTGACATAGCCAGTTTTTGAGAGATTTCTGGAAGGATGGCAAGGAAAGATCCATTCTCACTTCAGGTGGGGATGTGGGGGGATAATGTTACACAGAGCAGGTGCCATGGCAGAAATGGCCCATCTCCTGTATCCTGCTAGTTGTAACTCCTTAGCAGATGAAACCTACAACATATTTCTTCTGCTCTTGAAGACCATTCAGAAATTTCAACTGGTACAGAATGCAGCCACGCAAGAAGTAACTAGTGCAAGATATACAGCACATGCAATGCCACTCCTGTCTGAGCTGCACTGATTACCAGTGTGTTTCCAGGTGCAATTCAAGATGCTGGTACCTATAAAGCCCTACATGGCTTGGGACCAGGGTACCTGAGAGGTCACCTTTTTTCCAGAGTTTCTACTCATCTAACTAGATCAAATAGGATGCTCATGCTGCAGATCCCATCAACCAAAGAATGTTGGCTGACGGGGACTGGAAGGCGAGCTTTTTCAGCAGCAGCCTATGCTCTGTGGAACATCCTTGCTTCGGAGATTAGAATGGCCCCAATCCTGTTAGCCTTCCGTAAAGCTTTAAAAACCTGGCTATACTCCTGAACCTGGGGTGCTACCTGCTCCAAGGGCTCCGCCTCCTGGCTATATTAACAGGCCAGATGTCTTGCTTTGTATATACTTGAATTAGATGTTTTAATGTTTTTATTGTGTTAATGGTTTTTAGTGTTTTTTTTTAAAATGTTTTTAAGATTTTAATATATGTTTTTGAATTGTGAGCCATCCAGAATCATTTGCTGAGATGGGTGACTATAGAAATCAAACCAGCCAACCAATCACTTCTAGCTAATGACTGCAAAAGAAATAATGGAATTGGATAGTATAGTAAGGCAACCTGAGGCATTTATTGATGAGTTGTGGTCCATCCAAAGATAAATCTGAAAGACGATGGAGAAATTATCAAAAAAACATTAAGATAATATGTGCAAAAGCATGCTTTGAGCCCAGGATGAAGGGATTCAGATTGACGTCGGCCCAACTTTCTGGGATGTAAGGGAGGGAAGATTTGAAAGATTCTGTTGGTATAGCCAATCTCAATAATATAAGGCTGTGTCTTTAGGAGCAGGAACTGACTTCTAAAACTGACTTCTAAAAAAAAAATGCCAGCAGGCCAATTGTGCAGACCTGGTCTAGATAATTGCCAGTTC